CCAATAATCTCTGTGCTGTCTCCCTGACCTCAAGCTTAAGTTTCTTTGATAACATTCTAAACACTTGAATGGGGAAAATGAAATAATTGCAAGCTTTGAATTGGTATAGTTTTTCTGAATTTAATAATATTATTGAGTTGTTTTCTTGTACACAGCTTGTATCTTTTGTATTGCAAATAATGTTTGTGTGTGATTTAAAATGGTATAATAATGTTTAATTTTTCCATGTGCATAGTTTTGCTTTTCCTCCTCTTCCATCCCCTAGATTGGAAACATTTTATCAATTGAAAAGTCAGCTTTTAACTGTAGCTATTTTGAGAACTTACAATCTTTTGCGAAAGTGGAGTGACAGCACAGCCAGTAAGACATTTGCTTTGTACGCGGCCCGACATGGTCGACCTGGGTTCAATTCCTCCGCCCCTCTTGGAGAGCCCAGCAAGCTACTGAGAGTATCTTGACCACACGCTTTGACATATTTAATATGCAAAAAAACAGTAACAACAAGCAACAACAATTCTCACAATTTGCTGTGAGACATTGCTGGTGCCTGCTCGAGCAAATCAATGAACAACAGGAGGACAGTGCTACAGTGCTATAGCTGGGAAAAAAATTTTAAAAAACAATATTTTCTGAAAAATTTGCTGTTCACTTTCTGTTAACTGTCTAAACATACCAAGAGAAAATTATAAAAATAGTAAAAGTTTTGTCTTTTTATTTTGAGATGTTTTGTTATTTGTTTGGATTTGGGGGGCACTGCTAGTGCATAGGGGATGTTTCTGGCTCTGCTCATCTGTGGCCCCTGCTGGTGTTTGGGTGGTCATCATGGAGCCGAGATTCCCGCTGGACTAGGGAAGTGCCTGGCAGGTGCCTGAGCTCCTGTGTCTCTCTCCCACCCCATTGAATAGTTTTTCCCCTAGTTATACTAGTTTACCTTTCATGACCCTCGCATGTTTTGTTCCTCTGCAGCTTGTTTTATTCTGACATTTTGAAATACTCATGTAATACAAAAAGCAGGAATCAGTATTCACCTGGGGAAAATGCTGATTAAATGAATTTACTCAAAAATCCTGATAATTAGGAGCAGAACTGGAATTTAAATGCAGATTCACTTTCCCCTCCAAGAAATCTTCCTGAGGCCCCAGCATGGGAGGCCTCTGGGAACTCGGAAATCCCTGTTCTGGCGAGCCCTCCCAGTTTCTAGGGCTCCCCACAGGGTGCTGGGGGCACACCGTGGGTTTCTCCAAGCTGTACAAGTGTGAGGATTTAAAGTGTCATCATTTGTTGATGAGATTTTCCATTCTCCAGTGGATGGCCTTGTCTCTGCTGTAAAGTAACTGTCTACCTACTTTGCTTTTATGGTGGCTGTTAGGAACAGTTTTAACTGTGTGTGTGATCCGCATTATATTTCTATTCAAAAATGCATCAGGCAGGCCATAGTACAGTGGGTAGGGTGCTTGCCCTGCATGCAGCCAACCAGGTTGTATCTCAAGCATGATAAGGGTCCCCTGAGCCCTGCCAGGAGCAGTCCCTGAGTTCAGAGCCAGGAGTAAGCCCTGAGCACTGCCAGGTGTCAGAAAAAATACATCTATATATTTTGAATGGAATTTTCTCAAACTTGTCTTTACATCTTTTTCCCAGATGAAAACATCTAACAAAACCTGGTCATAGATAGTAATATTAATGTTTCCTCTTGAAATTCTGGGAAGAAAAACGGCAACAGGGAATGAATCAGTGTCCAAATAGCTGACATCATGAGGCTTTTTGTTTATCCAGAGTCTGAATGGGAGAAGTACCACCACTCACCTAATGTTTACCGAAACTAAGTAGCCAAGGCTAAGAAAACTCTGAAATAAGTATCTCCTGGAGTCAGAAGAGTCTGAGGCAAAAGAATCCAGTAATTGGTGTATAGATGCAGTGTAGGATAACACTCTTTTGTCCTTCCTCAGGTAGCTTAGGTTTATCAGGTCACACCCATCTAAAAACACTGAATTTGTATTGTAAGCAATGTCCTTTCTGTGTGGACACAGGAAGACAGTTAATATTATGCTTTGTAACTTGGGAGTTGATTGACTCTGAATAATATTTACTCCTGGGCATCTGCTTTCTTGACTCAGTTGCCCTTAGTTCCTAGCACCCTAAAAGCAGGGTCCCGACGATGGACTGAATGGACCCAGGGAAAGCTGTGAGCTACCCTGGCATCGAAATGGGCCAGGACAAAGCGCCACGATACTCAACTATAAGTTGAGGGCATGATCATGGACAAATGCTGTCATGGTCCAAAGTAAGTAACGACGAGACTAGGACCCTATTAGGGCTAGGAAGACTAACCTGGCCTGAAGACTGCAGAATGTATAATGAGATGTTTATATCTCTTACTGTGCTCACACAGAATGACATTCCTAGAAATATTAGAAGTAGATTTACTACAACTGTTTAAGTAGATTACTGGCTGAGGAAAGAACACACCCTTGTTAGGATCCCAGCCTTGAGCAGATCTCTTAGTAATCTGGAGTAATCTCTTTAGATGAGATTTTATCCTTGAGCTAATCTCCTGGAGGAGTGGTTTTACCTCTCATTGTTGATTTGTTAATATTCAACCCACCTTTATGTCACCGCCTTACATGATTGCTATATAAACTAAGCTTTGAAGCCCGGAGAGGGAGTCAGAAGCAAGAGGGCTCGAGTTCCAGAGATCCAGAGTCAGAGCCAGAAGGAGAGAGGTTCCAGATTGGGGCCCAGGAGAGAAGAAGGCAAAGAGACACAGGAGGGAAGAGGATTGGAATAAACTACTATTGATATCTACCATCCTGGCCCTCGTTTCTTCCGTCTGCCACTGGCCAACAGCCATCCCGATCCAGGCCACACACAGTGGCTCAATAGCACCGAACGCGGGCGGTGAGACAGTGCCATGCAGTGAGTCCGTGAACACAACCTTTGGCGTGATAAGATTTTACAATGCAGATTCCCGCACATACATGCCATCTCAAAAGTCATAGTTTTAGTCTCATCCAAATAACCAGAAAGACAAGACTCATGGAACTAGAAAGATACCCTGACCTTTAACTGTTAAAATCTTAGGTACAAAGCAGTCTGTCTTTAAATAGCATAGAACTGTATCGGTTAATTTCAATACAAAATGAATTTAAGAAGCATGATATGCTTCCTTCAGCCTCTTCCAGACTTACTTGGTCTGATCCTTCTTTTTAGAAAAAAGTTATGCAGCAGCCACTGAAAATATACCTTCTTTAAGCAAAGAGACAAAATGTGCTCCCCAGTAGCACCTGAAGCTGCTGTTGGCCCCTTGCATTGTTCAGGTGAGAAGGGTAAAATTGGATGAAATCACAACTTAACAAAACTGATGAAGTTATAATTGAATATTGGAAAATAAGCTAAAATTCTGAATATCACAGAACAGCACATATATGAATAAAAAGTGGAAAATTCTCTCATATGTGTGTCACTGACAAGAAGAAAGCCAAAGCAATGGGAGAAAAGAAATGCAAAACATCTTGGGAGAGTGTTCCTGAAACTTACAAGAAATTTAGAAAATTCCTTGTTCACTTTGCTACAGAAAGAGCATGTTGTTATTTCTGGGCTGAGGAGGAAACTCCAAGGCTGAGAGTGTGCACTGTGGGTCCAGGACCTCAGCCCTGACTGGGCTCCGCAGGAGCCCTGTGAGCTGTGGGGCTGTCTCACCAGGTGCCGGCGAGCAGCGCCACATCGCTGGACCAGCGCTACACAGACTGCCCTCATTACTGGCCAAGTACCACCAGGAGTTACCCACTACATCCTCCTAGGTTGCTAGGAAGGTCTTCAAAGTAGATAAAAATAACAAATATTTTATTAAGAAGAGGCAGGAAAAACCAGGTTGGCTGTTGATCGTCGATTGCCTCAAGCAGGCACCAGTAACGTCTCCTTCATCCTAGCCCTGAGATTTTAAAAAGTGCCATATTCAAGGCTCTTTCAAGGTTAGGAAAATGAGACCCATCATTGTTACTGGTATTTGGCATATTGGGTGTACCACGGGGAGTTTGTCAGACTCTCCCGTGTGGGCAGGTTACATTTGGTAGCCTGCCAGGTTGTCCAAAGTAAGAATGAGATAATAAGGTGTCACACGGCCCCTAGTCTCTGGGTCTTGGCCGTTGATGGGATTACACGGCCCCGGGGGGGCAGCCAGTTGGTGGGTGTGACCCCTGTCTACTGGAAGATGGAGGATCTGGGTGGAGGATGCTCAGCCCCAATCCGAGCAGGCTTGGAGATCTCAGCCCCGGGACCCGCATGCCTTTGTTCCTCTCCCAGTAACTTCATGCGTGTGGAGAGTGATCTCAGCATGGTTGTGGCTGGTTCTGGAGGTCTTCAGCTGTCGGAGCTCTGCTCGGGGCGAGGAGGGAAGCTCAACCCACCCCCCTCCAAGGGGCCTTGGCGAGGACAGCCAGGCGCAGGGGCAGGAGATTCCGTGCTGTTCTCTTCCGGGAGCTGGGTTTTATAGTCTCTGGGTCTTGGCCGTTGATGGGATTTGTTATGGTATTGTTAATTTTTTAAAATAATTTTATCTTTTAGAGATACTTAAACATTTATGGATAAAATTTTCAAATGTCTGGTAGCTGTTTGAAAATACTAAAGGAGTGAGAAGTAATCAGATAAATAAACAAGCTTTGCCATATTTTCAGTAATTGTTGAAGCTGTGTGACAGTTTTATCAGATAGTTCATGGTATGTTTTTTCCTTGGGATAGGTTACAAATGACTGTGTATGTGAAGTTTAAAAGCATGTTTTTTTCAAGTGGGATGGACAGTTCAGTGTATAGGGAAGCAAGTGCTTCTCATTTTATTGCTAGACCCAAGGATTTTAGATTATGATACCCTTTAGCATGGAGTCAGGGTGGCCTCCTGCAGCTGCCCAGATGCATCTTCATTGCCATTAACTTCGTGAATGATGTGTAAACAGCGACTCAGTTGATTGCACATATCTGAGAATCATTTCCTCATTTATCTTCCTTAGGATTGTGGAAAAGGGGTATTACAGTGAACGAGATGCGGCAGATGCTGTTAAGCAGATCTTGGAGGCTGTTGCTGTAAGTATAAGGGGTCACTGTGATGTGATTGTTTGTCATCTCCCTTAAGAAACTTCTGACTCTAAGACCATCTATCTGAAAAGCCATAAAAATTCACAGCAAGAAAACAAAATATTTACTGTAAGATATATCGAATGAATTAATATGTTCTGCTCATTCAAGCTTTGAGTGATATGACTAGCTTTCTCAAAAAATGCTTATTCTATTACTATAAAACCAAATCAGACCATGGTGCCTTTAATTGTTCCTTTTGTCTTTTTATTTTTTTGTTGTTTTTGTTCTTAGGTAGGGAAGTGGAGAGATAGAGACTGTGGAGAATAGAAATTCTTTTAAGACTAGAAATAAATTAAGGAAAAAACTAGCAATTTAATTTTTTCAGGATTTTTTAAAGTTTTTTATTTTTATGAAATTGTTCACAATAATTTATTACATTTAATATTCCAACACCAATCCTACCACCATTACATCTTCCCACCACTATATTTCAAATTTTTTCACCCCGACCTCCAAACCCTGCTGCAAGCAGGACCTAAATAATTTATTTTGTATCGCTTGTTTTGAATAATCCGCTAAAGATCATCCAAAAGAGTTTCCTTAAATTTCAGAAAGTGTGTGAAGGTTTTTGTATTTCACCCTGGAACCATTAGGCCCTTGTATAAAAGATTACTAACATGTTGTTAAAGTTTGAGCCTTGTATGCTTATTTATATATTTTTTTCTCCCCGAGATTGGTTGCCTTCTACTTTACATCCCATCCAATGTGGTGTGCTACTCTTAGTACAACAGTAGTATAGAGTATGAGATGTCACTTCAGGAATTCTAAAATTTTAAATAGGGTGATACAACTGGAGTTAATTTTTTAACTGGATGGTGACTTTGGGGTCTCTGCAGCATGTTGCTCTCTTCTGAAATTTGTTTGTGAATCTCTGGATCATGGCACTTAGTGAGCTTATATGGAGCCAGAGGCAGTTCCTAGGCATGACTGCCAGGCTCCCAGAAGAACAGGGAGATGGGGGAGGTCACCATTCTCAACTTCTAGTGAGTTTGGAGATTTTGGTCACAAGTCCTGCATACCTGAGTTTTAAAATCAGCAGATTCCCTCATGGATGAGGCTCATCCCACCTGTGAAGAGCGGCCATGAGCATGGCAGTGATTAAGTTCTGGAGGTTTTCAGCTACTGGGACTCTGTTCGGGTGGAGAGGGGAACTCACCCGCCCCCCCTCCAGGTTGCCTTAGATAAGACAGCCTAGGGCAGGATCTGGAAGCATCTCTATGGCATGTCACTCTCAGTAATTTAATTTTAAGAGAAATAAATGTACATTGCAATGTTAAACTACAGTCTAATTCTGTAAGTTAGTAATGGAAACCAATGAACACATGTTTATAAAAAATATGGAACTTTAAAGAGCTTTGCTGGATTGAATTAATCAGAAATTATTTACAGTCAACACGCTGGTGAAAATATTCCCACATTTTTCATGGTGTTTAATACATTTAGAACACTTCATTAACTGATTTATTGAATATAAAACCGGGACAGATTATTTTCTGAGTATAAAAGAATGGGGTGAAAATCTAGGTAAAAAAAATCTATAAAAGTGTATACAATAGAGATATGTTGTGTTGTCCAGTTAATTACTAACTAAAAAATTATTCAGTCTCACTGGAAATTTGTCACATTGACAGAAACACACTATCAAAGAATTTTCTCACAATAAAAAATGGAAGGTGAGAAAGAGAGTAAGGAAGGAAAAAAGGGAAGGAGGGAGAGAAAGGTGGTGAGAAAGAGGGAAGGAGAGAGTGAAGGAGGGAAGGACTTAGTAACTAGTTTATGAGTCAGTGATGAGGAGGAAGGTCTTTACACTTTTCACAGAAGTGCTAGAGACTAGAAGCCACCAAATCCATACTGAGCTGTTGACGCCAAGTTCAGTTAACCTTATAGCTTATTTTCCCAAATGATTTATTCCTATTAAATGTTTTGGTCTTTTTGCTTTGTAGGTGATAAAAAGTTTGAACTGGGTGCATAGGAAAGTTGTAGAGGATGCTACAAAACTTTACATAATACACAATTCAGTATCTGACTCTGTAAATACCGATGATCAAATACGTCTTCACAGAATAACTAACCCATTCCAGATTTTTCATCAATACATTCATGATCCCTGAATGTTAACTTAGGTATGATTTTAAGCTTGTTAATTTAGGTATGATTTTCAACATTTCCAGTACTTATCTCCTTGATATTATCTTATACTTTCCCAACTTTAGCTTAATCCTCCTTCAAATACCCATGGAGATAATCTTGCTCCCTGTTATATTAAGACTGATTCTGGAATGGTTTATAATGTTCTCTTGGATTTCAATTTCTATCCTTAAGTATGTAAGCCTAGAATTCTATTATGTAATCACTTTTCATTTTGTCAGTAATGTCAGCTTACTTCCTAAAATAATATTTTGGAATTCTATTTCTAGTGACATAGATTATCTGAGTAAGTTTCCTTGTGAAGTCCATCAACACTTTGTCCAAATAAGGTGGATAGCTGAGAACATAATTCTAGTACATTGGGGCTCAAATGGAGCTGTTATATTTTAAGTCTGATGCTTCACAAAACATCTCTGGGCCTATCTCCTCATGTAAAGTAAATGTAACATTCAATCCAATAGGTCACTCAAAGAAAATTAATGATATAAAGCCTGGAAGGTCTTATATCGTTAGGTCTATATCATACTAGTGCTCAACAGATAGAGAAATGATGATAATCATCTTCAGGTTTATTACAATCATTTCATGATCTGCTAGGTATGGTAAAATGATACAAACATGAAAATATGTGCTTAATAAATACATACTAAATATTTTGATTAATTTTTACTCATTAGTCATAAATAGCTCCTATTTTAGAAAAAGTCCTTACTGAAATTTTTAAATGAATAAAGACATTGAAGGAAAAATGAAAATTTTTTATTTTTTAATTTATTTTAAATGATGATGCATTTACTGAGATCCATGATATTATTTTCTACTGTTTTATATGAAACAAAGCACTATAATTAACTCCATACATGGAATTATTTTCTTCTTCCTTTTTGCTACTACTTCATTCTCCTCCTGTCCTCCAGAATTTTCCTTATTCACTAACTCTGCTGGCCTCCATCTGCTCATTTAGGCCAGCTCTTGTTTCCATTTGGTTCCCACTCAATTTAGTCATAGGTGACTGGGAGACTCTCATCTCATTCAGTGAATGAGAAATAAATGCTTTAAGCATCAGAATTTTGTACTTATTGGAGTAATACAAGGTCAGATAGGGTGACCCAGAGAGAGCAGAGGAATTAGAGATTCAGACCTCTATTCTAGGTCTGCAAAGATGGGTTACTAAGATTATCACTGATTGAAAATTAAAAACAAAACAAAAAACCATTGGTTTCCTAATTCACAAAGCTCCAATTTAGCAATGAGGTTGCCATCTTCCAGTGAAACACTTTGAAATATATTTTCTAAAATCAGATTTTCTCTGATTTGCAACTAAGGATTAATTTGGAGAAAAAAATAAAGCAGTTTCCCTGTCTCATAGGTAGAAAGCAATTTAAACCCTGTGAGATGTGGCTGACATTTATGACACCGTTTATTGTAAGCTATATAGCTATATGAGAGCTATAAAAAGCAGGACAGCTGAGAACTCAGAGTAATCAGTGAGATATCTCACATTGCCCCTGCATCACACACAAAATTAGTTTGTGTTTGAGACCACATAAGAAGAAAACTTGGTGGTTGAAAACTTGGAAACCCCTTACCCATTTATTTACACAGATAACCAGGACATATTCTGGTTCCTTTGACATCTCTGTCTAATACCACCTTCTAGTTCTTTCCCTGTCACCACTTAGATGCTGTTATTCTTCTGTTTCCCTAAAGTCACTGTCCTCACATTCGAAGCTGGGCTCACATTCTGGGGGAAAAGGCAGCTCAGATAGAGAAGGGACCATCAAGTAAAGGATGCTTGGAGAGCCCACGGGATGGGAGATGTGTGCTGAAGGTAGACTATAGACTGAACATGATGGCCACTTAATGCCTGTATTGTAAACCACAACACCCAAAGGGAAAGAGAGAGAGTAAAAGAGAATGCCCTGCCACAGAGGCAGGGGGTGGAGGGTGCATGGAATGATGGTGATGGGACGGATCCTTGGTGGTGGAGAATGGGCTCCGGTGGAGGAATGGGCACTTGATCATTATCTGACTGAAATGTAAGCACAAAATTTTGTAAATTTTGTAAGTCTGTAACTGTACATCAGGGTGAGTCATTAAAAAAATTAAAAAAATAAAATTTCAGTTTTAATCATTCACAATTATAACCCTTAGGTTATATTGAAAAATTTCTTTCCTCCTCTTGCACCCCCTTTATACTGAATATTGCCCCAAATATTTTATAGTATTTGATTCTGGATTATATTGCTCCTTCTGCTTTTTAGCACGGTACAGAATTTTTTTTTAACATTTACAGTGAATTTGAAAGATGTTTCTGTCTTTGAGTTGTAGTTCATTTGATTCAGTTTTGAGGACAGATCCTTAAGATTTCGTGGGCATTATTTTTTAAATGATAGCCATGTCATTCCAAATTTAAGTGATCTAATCCAGACTAAATACTCCAAAAGGTCACCTTGTCCATGCTTCTCATGAAACACAAGGACAAGCCTTAAAGTGTCCCTTTCCCATTTACTTACACAGATAACCAGGGCATATTCTGGTTCCTTTGACATATCTAATACCACCTTCTAGTTCTTTCCCTGTCACCACTTAAATGCCACTGTTCTTCTGTTTCTCTAAAGTCACTGTCCTCTTGCTGACCCACTCCAGATGCATCTTTTCTTCTCTCTCTCTCTCTCTCTCTCTCTCTCTCTCTCTCTCTCTCTCTCTCTCTCTCTCTCTCAAAGTAGATAGTCATGATTCAGAAAAAGATGAAACCACTAAAACTTCTTTTGGTCAAAACAAAACAAAACAATCTT